CACAGCAACCTCCAACTCTTGGGCTTAAGTGATTCTCTTGCCTCAGCCTCCCAAGTAGCTGAGACTACAGGTACCTGCCACAACACCCAGCTATTTTGTTGTTGTTGTTGTTGCAGTTGTCATTGCTGTTTGGCTGGCTTGGGCCGAGTTCCAACTCACCAGCCTCCATGTATGTGGCCAGCACCATAACAACTGTACTACAGGTGAGGAGCCCATTTTTCTATTTTTAGTAGAGACGGGGGTCTTGCTTTTTGTTCAGGCTGGTCTCAAACATGTGAGCTCAAGCAATCTACCCATCTCGGCCTCCCAGAGTGCGAGGATTATAGATGTGAGCCACCATGCCCAGCCCATAGAAATGCCTTGTTATAGCCTCTCTCTTACTAACCACTAGTAGGCTTTCTTCCCTAAGAGTTAAGCTGAAGCCAGCCCTTTGGAAAGACTTGCTCCACTACTGATTTCAACCAACCTTCTGACTGTCCTTCCTTTTTGTGGTTCTGACACAACAGTGGGCCAGCATTCCTCCCCCTGTAAAAGGACCATGGTGGGGTTCCAGACCAGTCTACAGAGTCTATGCTTCACTTTTTGATGCCCGAGGGCCCCAAACTCCACCCTCAAATCATGCTAACACACCATTTTCGAATATGTGACCCGAGAGGCATGAAGCTCACTTGTGCATGGACACGTTTCTGCTTTCATTAAGATTCATGACCACTGACTATGTATATTTCTGAACCTTTTACCCCACGCTTGAACTGCCTGCTCTTGGTTTTCTGTCCAAGGCTACACTTCCCAGCCTGCAAGATGGCCAGCCAGCAGGCTTCCTGAGAAATAAAGCTGTTCTCCCAGATTTACAAACCTTGTCATTATTCAGTTGAAAAGCCCTAACTTGGGCTCTGCTCCCATATGTCAGTGGTTAGGGCAGTGACCACATACACCAAGGCTGAAGGGTTCGGATCCAGCCCGGGCCTGCTAAACAACAATGACAACTACAACAACAACACAATAGCCAGGCATTGTGGCGTGTACCTGTAGTCCCAGCTACTTGGGAGGCTGAGGCAAGAGAATCACTTAAGCCCAAGAGTTGGAGGTTACTGTGAGCTGTGAGGCCACGGCACTCTACCGAGGGTGATGTAGTGAGACTCTGTCTTAAAAAAGAAAGAAAGAAAAGTCCTAACTTGGACAAGTTATGTAATACCCATCACACTGGGTTCTTTAAACATCAAAGGAGATCATGTATGGAGCAGGGAATCTAGTAAGTTCAGACACTGTTGTATGCATTTTTATATACAAATAAAAACTGGTGTATATGTGTGTGACCTGCCTTAGCTTCTCGGTCTCAAGAGGGCCTAGAATGACCACTGAGAACTGGAGGTATGTGATGTGTGCTATGTGGAACCCAAGCTTAGTCCTATGGCTGTAATACCCAGTGGGAAACAAATAAAATTTGTTTTAGAAACTCACCACCAGCAGCAATTTCTCAGTAACAGTCCAAGGACAGAACAAAATGCAGTGATTTATTCCACTACAGATGCTCCTCAACTTACGACAGGGTAATGTTCCAAAAATCCATAGTTAAATTGGAAATATCACAACTCAAAAATGCATTTAATACGTCTAACTTGCTGCATATTGAACCTTGGCCTGGCCTACCTTAAGCATGTTCAAAACACTTCCATTCAAATTCTTTGAAGACAAAGCCTATTTTAAAATAAACTGCTAAATATCTTACATCAGTATATCATACTGCGCATAGCTGGTCTGGGAAAAGATCAAACTTTAAAATTAAACCATCGTAAGCTGGGCACTGTCTGTATGTGTATCAGACAGGGGTCATCACAGTGGACTATTCTGATACTGTGTTTTTCTATACCTCAAAGCAAAATGAGCTATTTGGTGGCAAACATATGGGTCTGATAGATTGAAGGATGCAACGTCAACAGTTTTGTCTCCTTAAATGAAATGTAATTCAGAACACTAGCCCAGCGTAAATACCTAAGCATTCCTTTCTTGCCTTTCTTTCTACAAAATATTAACTATGTCACCATGTAGGGTGGAAAGAATCTAGCCATCTCTTAAGCACTTCCTTGTGATAACATCTTGGTAATTACAGCATGTGCTTTTATGAAATGTATTACATTCATTTCTCAGCAATACTTTAGAGAATTTCTGCCAACTTCTGGAAAAGTATAGCCTTTTTCTTTTTCTTTTATTATTTTTTTTTTTTT